AGGCCTCATTTGGTAAGTCAAAGTTCCAGGCTTTTCACTATACAACTCAATTGATAATGTAATGTGTTTTATGTTTGAAATGAGATTTATTGCTAACACCTTGCATATCTTTGCAACAATATTTTAAAAATTCAAGACTTAGGGGTTGTTTGGATATCTGAAAATTTATTACTTGACGTTTTTTTGTAATAATATTTTAGGAATTCAAGACTTAGGGGTAAAAAAATAGATAACATTGAAATCTAGCATTTTCAGTGTTTGGGTACACCTAAAGAGTAAGGAAATGAAAATAGATTATGCGTCATTTCTCCAAATCCCTTTGCTCTCTTCTCTGTCCCTCTTCAAGCCTTCATTCTCTTCTCTCTCTCTACAAGTAAGCCGTGCGGGTAACCTTTGCGAATAAATTTACTACCTCTCTCTCTCAAAGCAACAAATTTGGAGCAATCTCGAGCAAAACTAATGTCTTTCTCTGTCTCTTAGAGCAACATCTCTCACTCTATTCGAAGTCAGCATCTGTCTCTCTTACCATGTCCAAGTAAGATAAATTTCTCTCTCTCTCTCTTTCTCTGTTAAAAAATTACGGTTTACCTGTTTTTCTATGACATAAATGTGCCCTAAAAAATTTAAGGCTTTCATTTTTTCTAATACCTTATAAAAGGTTTGGTGGGTAAAATATTCTTGCAACAGTAAACATTTTATAGGCCAAACGGATTGATTTGAGCAAGTAAGATTAGGTTGATTTTTGTTACTCTAGTTTCCATAAAATCAGTAAAGTTATAGGTTGATTTGGCTCGTTCTTGTTATTTTAGTTTACATAAAATAAGTAATTATGAAAGGTTTGAATATTATAAAATCAGTAATTATGAAAGGTTTCAGAAATCTTGATCATGGGGTTATCACACAGTAGTTACCAATATTTATTTAATAAGATCAATCGTTTTTCTTTTTGGGTTTTGGTTATATGATATTTGCATTTTGTGTGTGGGTATCTCTATGTGGAATTTCTTCTGTTATTTTTGTGTGATTCATCATTTGAAAATCTCTCTCTTGAGATTTTCGAGCTCTTTTTCTGAATCCTGATATGGGCTCTCTTTCTACAATTTAGGAAATTTTTTTGGAGTTAGATTATCTCTTATATGAACAACAATGAATCTCTCTTTCTCTAGAATGGTGATGATTTTATTATTAGAAAATATTTTTGGAATGATATGATGATGACTTTAATTCTGCATTTCAGTGGAATTTTGTGACAAAAAAGAAAGAAATGTTAGTTTATAGGCAAGTATTGTTAACATCTTGGTAATGCATTTATCATATTTCTTCCAAACATAGCCAAATAGTAGCAATGCATTTCTCAGGTTGTATCTAAATACTATCCAAACAGTAACAATCCATTTGTATGTAATTTGCATATGATCTGAAGAAACTAATAAGCATAATAAAATTTCGAAATGAAAAAGTATGTGTAGCATAAGCGCTCTTTAACTTTTAACTTTCGAATTGAAAAATGTGTGCTAATTACTGAAAAATACGCACTTCAGTTTCAAGTTTTACAACACTTCAATATATGATATTATTCTAATATCAGAGTATGGGTATACAATTATAGAGAGAAAGAGGTTTAAGTAGAGACACAAAATGATTTTTATGTGACTGCAACCTTCATAATATTGAGGAGCATCACATACTTAATTCATTTACCCCAAGAAAATTAGATATTTACTTCAGCATTCACATGCCATCCGTGAGTCAACATGCATATTTTTTTGGCTATATCATGCACTTAAGCAAAATAGAAAAATATAATTATGCAAAAAATCAAGCAAAAAAAAAATATCGAGCAAAAAAAAAGTCGAAGTAAAAGATCGAGCAAACATTATCATGCACATATTTATTTTTTGTTAAAAAATATAACATTAAAAATAGAAGTAATTAACAAAGCTAAGAATTTCAACAAACTAGAACCCCCTTTCCACATTACTATGCAACAAGTAATTAATCCAAAACTACTAGAATTAATCCAAAATAAAAAAAATTCAATATGTATGAAAAAAAAGATACACTATTTTGCTCCATTATTACAAATACAACTAGATCATGCACTTAATAATAATAACTAAAAAGATTGAGAAAAAAAAAATCAAGCTAAAGTTCAAGCAACTTTAGAAAAAAATATATAACATTAAAAAAAAAAGAATAAATTTTTGTTGTCATATTCATCACAAAAAATATATTTTTATATTAAAAACATAATTTTATTAAAAAACCCTAAAATCGAGCCAAAATCATCAAGAACTCTTAAATTTTCGAGTCAAAATCAACCTACAATCTTCCATTTTTTGAACAAATTGAAATAGAGATATGATGAATACTTTGATTATGATTCAAAACCCCCAAATTTCATGAAGATCCATTCAATATTGAGAATGTTCTTTAAGAAATGACAGAAATTTCAGTTCATGAAATTTTCATGATAAAAACGTAAGAAAAAAATCCATATAAAAAAAATTTACTCAGTAATAAATTAACATACTTACTGTATTTGATAGATGAAGCCTTGATGATAAATATATATAGCTCAATTTGATAAAAAACGAGCAATAGATCGATAAGAAATTAGTTTTTTGGATCGAACACAGGTTCTTCGAGCAACAGCATTTCGGGCCGAAATCAACCTCCAATATTCCTTTTTTTGGATAAATTGAAATAGTCAAATGATGAATTCTTCGATAATGATTCAAAACCCTCAAGTTTCATGAAGATCCATGTGGTATTGAAGCTGCTATTGAGAAAATGGAGGAAATTTCAAAAGCTTTGAATATCCGTTACTTTAACAGTCAATATCTCCTCCTTTCTCGATTTTTCATTCTAGATTCATTGTTTTATAGAGATTTGTCAGTGTTATACAGTAATAAAGCACCAAAAATTTTAAAAAATGGTAGAAAATCGAATCCAAAAAGCTATAAAAGTTGGATTCATAGGCTAAAATATAACGTCCCCATTTTTCAAATAACGCCCATTATTTTTAAATTGTCGGTTATTTTATAAAAAAATGCCCGTTGTTGTAGTTAATCAGTCCGGTTAGTAGAAACTGGCTAATTTTCAACAAAAATCATTGGTTCAATGCCCAACCGGTCGGTTTTGGGCCTAAAAGTTTTCTGTAGTGTTGTCTACACTACTTGCAGCCCAAAACCAAGCCTAACCGGACTCGAAACCCTAGCGGTTCCGAGCTAACCAGTCGGTTCCGGTTCAAACCGGCCGATTTTGCCAACAATGCCATAACTACATCTCCAAGTAAAATTAAGAGGTGCACCTTCCGTTCACAGTATAACAATGACGCCTTATACAAACCTCACTTACTTTTTAGGCGGATTCTTTTTTGGGTGAATAAACTTTAACTATTGTAAACCTTGTTTCACATTGCTAACCCTAAATAACTAGGGACATTGTCATTATTTGGCTTAATTACCTGAAATATCCATGCTTCTTCAAGATTTTAACTTCCGGACAATTTGTTTATTTTTTTATCTTTTTTTTAAGAAGGTACATAAATGAAATGAAGCTAAAAAGTAATTATCGTAATCTTAATGAGATAATTTAACCATCTCGATAATTTTGCAAAATAATGTGACTATTTAATTTAACATTATTTCTTATTTGATTGACTTGATTGTCAACTGAGCTCCCCACTTGCTAAACCGACTCATTAAAACCCACCACTTTATACTTTACATGCTTGAGGGGATTAAATATTCCCTCTCTTTGTGAGTCTCAACTTCATCATGTGGCCGAAAATTTGACCAAAACCCCCTTTTGTACGTCAGTGCTCCTAGATTGACCACGCCTAGATTATTTGCCTCAATGGTTATTTTAGAAAGGAAAAAGTTTATATAAGGTTACTACTTTAAAATGTAGAATTATTTATGCACCTCAAAAATCTAATGGAAATGTTATTTTAATATTAAAAAACACTCTAATGATCATCTCGACATCGAGATGTATGAATATGAAAAAAATATAGTTTTTGACTCCCAGAAATAGTGCATCTTGCAACATATTATCTAGACCGTCAATTTTCAAGATTTCCATATATTTATAGATCTACTTGATTTTAAGTGTTTTTTAAATTTAAAATTTTCTAATTAGATATGAAAATAAATTTTAAAATAATCCTAATAATTTTTTACAACAAAAATATATATTATGATAAAATTTGGAGGTGGGCCTTAATTGGATTGTTTAAGGTTGCAGAAATCGCACCCTTTTTTAAATAATCCGTTAGAACCCACAAGACTCACCTAAATGGGTGTGGCAATGGACCCAGACCCGACGGGTATGGGTCCAAAAATTGGACCCAACAGATCGGGTCCGGGTCCAAATATTGGACCCAAATACTATTCAGATTTGGGTTTGGGTCTGAGTCCATGTGGACCCAATCTGAAACCACAAGAATAGTGTTACTATTTAAATATTATTTAATATTTAATATTTAATATTTATATATTTTTAGTTATAATAGTTAAATAATACATGTATCTATTAATATAATATTGAAAAGGAGACTCTGAAGTCAGCTCACTAACTGACAGTTACAGTAAATACCTAATGGTCTATATTGAATTTGGGGCAATCTAATGGCCACAATTGCATTTTATATTTAAGTTTTAATTTTTTTCTAAACATCTAAATCACTTTAAATTTACAGCACCTATTCTTTAAAAATAGACAAATTTAATAAAAATATCAAGATAATAATCAACAAAAATTAAATAGACCAAAATACCCCTAAAACTTTCAGGGATATTTTGGTCACTTTATTTTTTGTGAATAATTTTTTAATATTTTTATTAGGTACGGCTTGATGAGAAGACTGACCGTCTTAAATTTCATATAATTTAGATTTGTAGAAGAAAAACTTAAAATGTTAGAATAAAAAAAAAATGTACTCAATATATATTTCTCTTTCACACTCAACTACAATGCATTCTTTGAGCTTGCATTCATCTCACCCCCTCTTTTTGAATGTACTCTCTCATCAAGCCATTCAACTCCTCTAACATTCCATATATCTCTTGTGTTTGAGGGTGCCTTTTATCACCAACAAAGAAGCTATGAAGGACCCCTCTAACCTCAATCATGCTCCAACCCGGCCTCTTCTCAACTCCTCTCTCTTCCATCATTCCCCTCACCATCTCCACATCTGCCCACCTTTTAGCTGATGCATATATGTTTGATAACAGAACATACCTTCCCCCATGTAAAGGATCCAAATCTATCACATGTTTTCCAATTCTCTCTCCTAAGCTAACATTCCCATGAATCCTACAGGCACCTAAAAGTGAGCCCCACATAATTGGATCAGGCTTCATAGGCATGCTTTCTAAAACCAACCAAGCCTCATTCAAATACCCAGCTCTAGCAAAGAGGTCAACCATGCAACCATAGTGCTCAATCCCTGGCTCGAGGCCGTAGTCTCTCATTGAATCAAAGAAGAAACGACCTTCATCCATATAACCCACATGAGCACATGCAGTTAGCACACCTACATATGTGACCCCATTTGGCCTTTGACCCACCTCTTGCATATGTCGAAAGATCGCGATGGCCTCGTCACTAAGGCCATTCATTGCAAGCCCTACCACCATGCCACTCCATGTGAAGACATCTTTCACAGGCAAGCTATGGAAAACCATTATAGCCTCCTCTATGCATCCACATTTTGCATACATGTCTATCAACACATTGCCTAATATCACACTAACACCTTCTTTACACAGTAAAGAATGTATGCATTTGCCCCTCTCTAGAGCCCCTAACAGCCCACAAGCTGAAATAGCACTCACTAAAGAAGCCTCATTTGGAGCTTCAAGAACTTGATACCTCATTCTAACAAAGAGCCTCAATGCCTCTTCAAAACATTTGCACTTCTCATAGCCCCCAATCATGGCAGCCCAAGAGACAACATCCTTAGTTGGCATTTTCTCAAAGACTTTTGAAGCGTATTTTATCTTGTTACATTTGGCATACATGTCAATTAAAGTCCCACCCACATACACATTACTCATTAATCCCAACTTCACTATGAATCCATGAATTTCTTTCCCTTTGTCAATTGCTAGTAATAGGGAACATGCCCTTAGCACAAAGGGAAAAGTATAGGCATCCGGAGATTTGCCTCTACTCACCATCTCATTAAACATAAAAAGGGCTTCTCTAGGGTTTTTACTGTAAGTATAAGCCCTTATCATGGTGTTATACATGAAAGCATTTGGATCAATAAAGTGGGTGAGAAGCACATGAGCATAAGTCAAGCCATTAGGCATCAAAGAAGCGGAAATGGCCAACAGCTTTGAAACAACAATAGGATTCTCATATAGGCCAGAAACAATACATCGGGAATGGATTTGCTTTAATTGGTTTACGCCAGAGCATGATTCTAATTGTCTAAGAAGATTGCGATGAACTTTGGAGTTGGGCTCACTGATGGAATTTACACCAGATTTTTGGTTAGAAAGTGAAAGGGGTGTAGTCATGAGAGGTGATAATACACTAGCCATGATGCTCTTGACTTGAGATTTTCACAATGAAGCGCCGTATTATTCTTTTTTCGTTGTTCTAATATACTTAAGTGATTGAATTCGAGCTTTTATGAACTTTGGTTTTTTTCACCCAAATTTTAGCCGAAAAACTTTTCCTTAACCCATCCCATGCCCAGGTAAAATGGTTGGGTTGGGTTGGGTTGTGTTAAGTACACAACCAACATGAAATTTTCTCAAAATTTATCATGAATCCTAAACCTACAGTATTAACTTATCGTAAGGTATTTCTTAGAAGCGACACATTGTACCAGAGCTTTAATAAAGCAGAATGGTGGATCAGGATTCATATGACTGATTTCAATTAATTGGAAAAAAACTAATGATGATGATGGCTAAAAACAATAGAAACACTCATAATCAATAAGAAACATACACCTACAAAATAGAAATGAGACTCAATATATCATATTTGTTGCGCTCCGCCACACTAACCCCAAGCCTTCAGCCAATTTCTAAGGTCCATGGTGTCCTTTTGCTTTTAGCAAGCAAGAGAGATCCCTTCCCTTTTGTAATTTTACATGTTTTCAATCCTTGATGGCGCAGGTGCACCGAACGTGCGAGTAATGGGTTAGTGTGGTCCTCCATTTGATATTTCAGATAAGCTTTGAAATAAAATCTGACAAGTGCATTATGTCCCTATCGTTATTCTATTAATTTGAGGTTAATCTTTACATTTCTCTTCTTTTTTTTAACTTAGAGAATGTGATCTTTCCAATTTCTCGAAGGGGCTCATACACGAGGACTCCTTGCTTCCAAACAAGGAATTCTCAATCACTTCACAAAAGTAAAAAACAATTTTTTCTTGATTTATGTTTTTTTAATTAAAAAGTGGCTACCTTTTGTTTCTCTAATTTTAAATAGATTTTTGAAATTGCAGTAATTTTTTAAATTGTTTTTTAACAACATCACAAACTTTTATTGATAATGTAAGAAAACATAGAAAATTATAATAGTAAAGAATCCCGAATTACATCATGCACCCCACTCACTTCGAGCTTTGCTAAGTAATCAAACGGTCATTAGTTTCCTTGTATACATATTGAAATTCCACACGCGGTCCATCCATTAAATCACACACATGTAGCTATAAAGATCTAAAAATCCATGGAGGTCTCCAATTCCTTCTATACCAATTTATCACATTTAGCGAATCCCCTTCCACTGCACACCATATACCTGGAAATCTATTCTTTAAAACCTTAAGACCAAACAACAAAGCACTTAATTCATCCATGTTCGCAGTGCAGTTCCCACATGGTCCCAATAGCAGCAAAGAACAGTCCCTTATGAATTCTGAAAAACTCCCCCAAAATCCTTTGGGCTAGGTTTTCCAATTGAAATTCTATCAAAATCCATTTTGATACAGCCACTATCAGGCCTTATCCATCTTCCCACATGTCTGTCGAACCTCGACGATTGCCACATCATAGTTGAGAGACTGAGTGACTAAAAACGAAGATCAATCAGTATGCATGACCTTTTTTTGAATCATTTCCAAGCATAATCCTCTTCTTCGAAATGTTCTCCTATTATGCTCTAGCCACACTTCCCACAACAAAGCATAGATTAAATATAAAGTTTTACCTTTCTTTGGCAAAGTTGGACGAAAAATATTTGCTAAAATATCTTTGTGGCCTTGTGGAAGGGTCAGCTGCGTACCGCACTTACTAAAAGCCCACTTTAAATGATCTCCCGTCTCCTCATCTTTTTTATATAACAGGCATATGTTAACCAGAATTTTACTTCTCTTCCACAGATTACCATCTATTCGAACTCTTCTATGCAATAAGATCCATAGAAAAATTTTAACTTTGTCTTAAATCTTCCATTTTCAAATTTTACTCGAATCAACCATGGGGCACGATCATTGAACAATAATCTATATGCTAATTTTTAAAAAATTTGTTGTATTGAAAAAAAGGTTTGACCAGTTGGAGTGGTTTTGAGTGGACCAGTCGGTTTACCGGTTCAAACATTGGTCCGGTCCTGATAACACTGAGAAAAATCTCCTATAGGCGTATTGTTTTGGATCATCCGTGACCCAAATCATGAAACGGTATGTATTGGGGCTTAAAATCGAAAAGAGAAGATATATTTATTTTCAAAATGTAATGGCTTATCCACCACCATCTAGCCTTATCCCAATTGTCTCTGTTTCATTGTGCTTCTTGTCTCTCTATTCCACACTTTATCTATCTAACCATGTCACCTTTCTATCTCCAACTTCTTTCTCTATGTAATTGTGCACTTTTTATCTCTCCAAATCTGCCCTTCCCCTTTTCTTTTTTAATCCTCTCTCTCAATCTGCCCTTGCTCTCTCCAAAAGTCCCCTTAGCACTCAAAACTGGTGGTTTTCACTTGAGTGGCCTATGTTGGATATGCCAATTCCAACTTTTACTTTGGAGTTAATATATATCAAGGATATAAGCGTGTTTGGCGATTTAGAATCTCATAGTTACCGGGAGCGCCCAACTGGGGTGGCCTTCTCGCTCAGAAACTTAGCTTCGGTATTATGTGGCCGGGATCTCATCTGGAACCTGTTCTCAACTTTTTGGGAGCTTGCTCCTATTTTTAGGATTCTCGATCCCATTCACAACAGAACTCGTTCCCGTTGTCCCACAAAACGTGTTCCCAAGCAAATTAGATTCCAGCTCCTAGAATTTTAGGATCGCGATCCCTACATTCCCAGAACTCCATCCTTAGAGAGGATCCCACCATGAACAAAAACAGAGCCACCCACCATTAAAACAGTAGGGTTATCAGCTAAAAAATGCGTAGACATTGGGCCTCTAGGACTCAAAGTAGCTACTCTAGCCCTAATTCCAGATGGATAATTTTTGGGTACCCCACTAAAAATGTTAATTTGCTTTTCCAATCCTTTACAAAGGTTTTTCATTTCAAATCCTATAGGAAACCAATCACCCGAATTCTTGAATTCGTCAAGGTCAGCTTTTATCATATACTTGAAATCCTCTTGTATATTCAAGCTTTCATGGTTTCCCTGTAAAATTAACATCTTCTTATTTGATTTCTCTGCGTCTTCCTTCTAAAAAATAAAGGAGGTTGAGCTCTTCTCCTCATCTGTCAAGGATATCACAAAGCTTTACAACCATGGAGTTGCTTGCAATCAAGTGATAGTTTCATCAAAGATTTTAACCATTTTCAGAGCTTGGTTGGCCTTTTGGAGATCGCCATGGAGGTCCCTAACTGCTAGCAAGCAAGGTTGAGATAGGTATGTGGATTTTTGTTGTTGTTATGCTGTCTGAGGAGACAGAAAGACTCCACTCACTGTGAAGTTGATGAATGTGTTCATGAAGTTAGAAAGGGAGAGGGGCGCGTCTTTGTAAATGGGTCCATGGGATCAGAGGTGCGGAGGTTGAAGAGGTGGTAAATGTGAAGATGTGGTGAATGTTTGGTCGAGAGATATATAGAGAGAGAGAGCAAGAGAGAGAACTGGTTGAGATTGGCTCCAAATTGAGCGGAACACGATCTAATCTTCAATGGAGCTCGATCCATTTCAAACACGAACGCATTTTTCTTAGATGGGGGTGCGATTCAACTTTAAATGGGATCTCATTCATGTTGTCTATAGGAAAGCGATCCTAATGAACATGGGAACATGATCCCATTTTACACGGAATGCGTTCCCGTTAAATAAGGATCTTGATCCCAATATATAGGGAACACGCCTCTTGTTCATACGGGATCTCTATCCGTAACTTTTACCCTTATCGAAACTTGCTCCCCGAGCTCCGGAGCTTAGGCAGCCCTTGATCTGATGTTCCCGCTCCTGGAACTAAAGCCGTTCCCGCTCCAGCTCCCAGTAACTATGATTTAGATATCCAAGATATACATAATGAAAATACAGTACATCCCTTATCTACAAAGCCGTCCTATGTAACTAGACAGCTGGGAGCGATTTCTAGCCAATCTTGCAAAAATCACATGAGGCTCGCTCTTAGTTGATAAACCATCTCAATGAAGATGAAAACCACAAAAACCATCTCTTTGAAACTTCATTCATTATCTCCATCTAGAAAGCCATCTCTCTTTAAAATTCTAATAGCCCATCGTGAAAGTTTCCCCATTGCTTTATTTGTGAAACTTTAACTATTTTCTCCCTCTAGAAAGCCATCTCTCTTTCAACCAAACACCATCAAATCCTGCCATTTTTTTTCTTTAAGGGCCAATTTGGATGTCAAGTAAAAAAATCTTCACATGGAAAAAAATTGTAAGTTTTCTCATCATTAATTAAAAAATATTGCCATAGTTTTTTTGTTATATTGGATTGTTTGGATGGAGTTAACATACTAAAAGCAAAGTCGCATTCTACCCTTCCAAAATTCTCTTGCCGAACCAAAAGGTTTTCTTGTATCTCTCACAACAATAAAAAATTTGCTTCCATACAATAAGCAAACTTGCAACCTGATCTTCTCCTTATTCACGAAGAGAACACGCCTCTTGTAGAGAGAGAAATGACTTTGGCCTTACAAAAATGCCGCCTAGGGCTGCCATGGATGGGGCTTGAGCTTCTCTAGTTTTTTGCAACCCGATCATCTCCTTATTCATGAAGATAAGGGGCTTCCCATAGGTGCAGTATGAGATAAAATATTTGCCTTTTGTAGATAGAGAAAGGGCCTTGGCTTTAAAAAGACGCTGCCTGGGCTTGAGCTTCTTTGGTTTGCTGCAACCCCCACTTCTCCTTATTCGTGAAGAGAAGGGGTTTCCCATGGGTGTGGTATGAGAGAAAAGACTCGCCTTTTGTAGAGAGAGAAAGGACATTGGCTTTACAAAGATGCCGCCTAGGGCTACCATGGATGGGGCTTGAGCTTCTTTGACTTTTTGTAACCCGAGCTTCTCCTTAATCATGAAGAGAAGAGGCCTCCCATGGATGTGGTATGAGAGAAAATGCTCGCCTTTTGTAGAGAGAAAAATGGTTTTGGCTTTACAAAGATGCC